TATCAGTATAGAAAATCTCACTGCCATAGCTGTTCTTCTGGCTGTTATGGGCATCGGGCACATACAGTTATTTTGGGTAGGTCCTGTTTGAGGGCACATACCCCATGCTTTCAGTCAGAACGATTTTTGTTTCTTTTTTTTCCATCTTTAGCTAACAAGAAAGTTCTGTCAACTAATCTACTTTACACGGTCAATATTCATGCTTTATATATAACACACATATTTGTTGAATCTGTTTTTGTCTATTTTCTTTTATCGAACAACTACGTTCTGATAGCATGGCTGTAGGCTGCAGTTCTGTCTTAAGTCCCATCAGCTGCTACGTTACTGAGTTATTGTGTGGTTAGCTCATAAATATCCTTAATACTTGCAGGCTTCTTACTGCTACAGTGGCATGGCCTGCTCCAGTAGTGATTTACATTGGTATTATCCTGTCCACTTTAGGTGCAGCACTGCAGAGTTTGACAGGGGCTCCAAGGTTACTAGCAGCAATAGCAAATGACGACATCCTTCCAGTCCTTAATTACTTTAAGGTTTCTGAAGGAGCCGAACCTCACGCAGCAACTTTATTCACAGCATTAATCTGTATTGGATGTGTGATTATTGGGAACTTGGATCTGATTACACCCACTATCACTATGTTCTTTCTGTTGTGCTATGCTGGTGTGAACTTGTCGTGCTTTCTGCTTGACTTACTTGATGCTCCTAGTTGGCGCCCTCGATGGAAACTTCACCACTGGAGTCTTTCACTTGTTGGTGCATTACTTTGCGTTGGTACGCCATTTGACTCTTCACTGTTTTATTTCGTCATCCATGACATTCATCCTGAGCTGCCTGTAATACTTTTACTGAATGTTATTTTATGTACTTGAAAATGTATACTGACTTAGGCATTATTGTGAATTTTGACTGAAGATTTCTATTCACATGTATGATTTTCAATCCAATTTGCTTACCTCATATTTCTTGTGGTCCACAGCTAGTTAAAATGCACCCTCATGTTGTGTTTATAGTTGTGCTTTCCACTTAATAATCTTTCTCTCAAATTTCAGTCATCATGTTTTTGATCTCTTGGTCTTTCACTGTTATCTCCCTTGCCCTTGCAAGCCTCATCTATTACTATGTGAGCTTAAAAGGGAAGGCTGGAGATTGGGGAGATGGGTTCAAGAGTGCATATTTTCAGTTGGCATTGCGGAGTCTCAGGTCGCTAGGAGGTATTACTTTCTGCATGACAAAGAAATAGTCATTGGTAATCTATGCAAACTCATTATTCTAACACTCACCCCACTGTTCTTCTCACAGCAAACCAAGTTCATCCTAAGAATTGGTACCCCATTCCTCTGATATTATGCCGCCCTTGGGGTAAACTTCCAGAGAATGTCCCTTGTCATCCAAAACTTGCTGATTTTGCCAATTGTATGAAGAAGAAGGGCCGTGGTATGTCAATATTTGTCTCAACAATTGACGGTGATTATCACGAACTGGCTGAGGATGCTAAGACTGCCTGTCATCAGCTGGAGGCCTACATTGAGTACAAACGCTGTGAGGGTGTTGCGGAGATAATTGTAGCACCTTCAATGTCTGAGGGCTTCCGTAGCATTGTTCAGACGATGGGCCTTGGTAATTTGAAGCCGAATATTGTTGTGGTGCGGTACCCTGAGATTTGGCGCCGTGAGAATCTGACAGAGATACCATCAACCTTTGTCAGTATAATAAATGATTGCATCATTGCTAACAAGGCAGTTGTTATTGTGAAGGGTCTTGATGAGTGGCCTAATGAGTTCCAGAGACAGTATGGTACTATTGACCTCTACTGGATTGTGAGAGATGGAGGATTGATGCTTCTTCTGTCTCAGCTCCTGCTCACAAAAGCGACCTTTGAAAGCTGCAAGATCCAAGTCTTCTGCATAGCGGAAGAGGACACTGATGCTGAAGAGCTAAAGACTGATGTCAAGAAGTTCTTGTATGATCTTAGGATGCACGCCGAGGTCATTGTCGTGACTATGAAGTCATGGGAATCTCATGTGGAGAGCAGCAGCAGTGGTGCTCAGCCAGATGATTCCCAAGAGGCTTACACAAGTGCACAGCGCAGGATCAGCACATACCTTTCTGAGATGAAGGAAACGGCACAAAGAGAAGGACGACCGCAAATGGTGGATGGGAAGCAAGTTGTGGTGAACGAGCAAAAGGTCGATAAATTCCTCTATACAATGTTGAAGTTGAACTCGACGATACTCAGGTACTCCAGAATGGCAGCTGTGGTGCTAGTGAGCCTCCCTCCGCCACCGCTGAATCACCCTGCATACTTCTACATGGAGTACATGGATCTGCTTGTAGAGAACGTCCCACGGATGTTGATAGTTAGGGGATACAGAAGAGATGTTGTCACGTTTTTTACTTGATCAAAAATACATACAGTCTGAGCTCCATTCAGTTGTTGTGCCATTGTAGCAGAATGGATACACAGATGTGTGCATATTCCACTGCTGACGTTGGAAGCCCTCACCTTGACGGCTACCTTAGATGGGATGCACTGGGTTTGTTATTGCCATATTATAGGTACGTAAACTATAGTGTCTTCATTCCTTTTCTGGACACAACAGATGAATACTTGGTCATTACAAATTTTGTAGCCCCATTCTCCAAATCAATTGTAGAAACTTCCAAAAAAATTTACCGAAACAGTAGCAATAGTGTCCCTGTTTTTGGCTATTTTCCGTGATCTGTATACGGCTGAGAGGCTGCAACCAGTTGTTGGAAGGAGCAATACAAATGCTATAATTAGAGTGATGTTTAACATGACTTGTGTTGATATACTATCAAATCTTACCATGCATTGCACTGCTGTAGCCCTTTGTGCACGGGTGTCACTACTGAGTATTTTGTTGGTGCGAGTTTTCACTACCTTAGAGGAGTATTTTGTTATTACACGTATTTTCTGTGGTACTGCGATATGATCCTAGCATGAATATCTCTTGTTACAGTTGTTACTGGTCTAAATGTCTAGGCTTAGCCATGGTTTAGATGATACGTTCTGCTATTTAATTTGAACTAGAGGCAGCATGACAGTGTTGATATTGCTTATCAGCGTGACTCTCAGTTTCCCAGCCATATGCTTACTGACTAGACGATTATATGCTTTTAAGTTCTACGTTCTGTTCTTTTTTCAACACTTGATCCTGCGGTTATGGATAGCAAGCGTTAAAATAGCCACCCTCACAAATCTTCCTTACTCTACATATTATCTGCAAAATATAGTGGAATATTTGAATGGAAGTTGACTCTCAAGATCGAAACCGGCAATGGATAGAAGCTTGCAAATGCTACTCCCTCCGTCCTAAAATACTTGTCCTAGAAATGGATAAAATGGATGTATCTATAATTAAAATAAATCTAGATATAACCATTTTTAGGACAAGTATTTCCGGACGGAGGGAGTACACTAGAAATACCTTTTGTCCAAACTTGGAAACTATCAAAAAACTACAATAGATTTGTCCAAGGGGTTAATTGCTAGCGCGCCTGTTCTTGTGAGATCTTGGGACGAATGAATTTCTGTAATGGTGGGTGTCCAATAAATTTGTCTATCCAAATCATGTGACAAGTGTGGCAAATATGAGAACTGCTGCACGTACGATACAATTGGTACAATCTTCGTAAGATCGCAGCCATCCATGTAAGTACAACATACTTGGGGCCACAACCATTAATCTGACCATCGTATAACAAGAATCGTGTGATGCGCACGACACATGTCAGCCGATATATGCACCACGTTTAAGATAGAACCATACATGCCTACTCCCTCTGTCCGTGAATAAGTGTACTTCTACCTTTTATTCAAAGTCAAAAATTTAAAATTTTGACCAATTTTATAGAAAAAATACTGGCATATATGACATCAAATTGATATATTATGAAACTACATTTCAAAACGAATCTCGTGACACTAATTTAACACCATAAATGCTACTGTTTTTCCCTATAAAATTGGTCAAAGTTTCAAAACTTTGACTTAAAACAAAAGGTAGATGTACACTTATTCGCGGACGGAGGGAGTAGGACTGAAGAGTTGATCGTCGCTGGATTGATTTGTTGTACAAGGATCGGTCCATAATTATCATGTGTGGAGCAGTTTTTTTTCGTATAACAATCGGACCCAAAGCATCATATATGGTGTTGGAGTAATTCCCGCTGTACCAAGCATTGACAAAAGTGCAATTGACGAGCAAGTGGGGGTTTGTCTCACACTTGGCACAAAAATGTAACAAAGGTATTTTGAACTTCATCGGCCAACTCGAGTACAGCTAAAGTGAGAAACTGATAACCAACCAACAAACAATTAAGGGAGCGCCGTCAGGTTTCAGTACCTGAAAATCTCATCTATGAGTCAGTCACTATTCACAACCACTGGATCTTCATCCAGCGACCCAAAATAGATCACATATTGTTCATCTTCCTTTTTTCTTCCTCCTGCAGCCGCCCCTCCAACCCAGCCCTAGCTGTCTGCATCCAACCCCCACGGCCAACGGGCGCTGCCGTGCGCCGCCTCGCCCTCCCCTCAACCTCCCCCGGCAATCTCGCTAAGCCCCACCCCAATGAACAGCTCCAACTACGACTCTCCCCCCTCCCAACCCGCACTCATGAAGTTTCAAACTCTCTCTCGGCAGCTATTGCCGACTCCTGCTTATCCACGGTTTGGCCTTGGCGTGGCCGCCGCTCCTCATGCTGTCTTGGCCTTCGGCCTCGCACATAGCGAAAAGTGAATGACGCCAAAAAAAGAAAAATTCAAGTACTTGATGTGCAGCAAACCTGAACAAATTAATGTCCACTCATATTCATATGGAAAATGAAAACCATGCATTTCTCATATAGACATTTCATGTTCCATATGGGCCCTATTTGTAAACATCTTTGATAGTGTACAACATCAACGGTCAGATATTAATCATACATCCAGAGTACACATATATACTCCTGAGAAGTCGATTTTCATGTGTTTACTTGCCGGGCACAAAGTTGGTGGCGAAGGCCCACACGTTGTTGTTGACGGGGTCGGCGAGGTGGTCAGCGAGGTTCTCGAGCGGGCCCTTGCCGGTGACGACGGCCTGCACAAAGAATCCAAACATGGAGAACATTGCAAGGCGGCCGTTCTTGATCTCCTTCACCTTGAGCTCAGCAAACGCCTCGGGGTCGTCAGCTAGGCCAAGGGGGTCGAAGCTGCCACCGGGGTAGAGTGGGTCGACGATCTCTCCGAGCGGGCCACCGGCAACGCGGTACCCCTCGACAGCGCCCATGAGCACAACCTAGCAAGCCCAGATGGCAAGGATGCTCTGAGCATGAACCAAGTTAGGGTTGCCGAGGTAGTCGAGGCCACCCTCACTGAAGATTTGGGAGCCAGCCTTGAACCAGACGGCCTCGCGGAACTTGACGCCGTTGCGAGCGAGCAGCTCGGGGAAGACGCAGCCGAGCGCGCCGAGCATGGCCCAGCGGCAGTGGATCACCTCGAGCTCGCGGTTCTTGGCGAAGGTCTCCGGGTCAGCGGAGAGCCCCGCGGTGTCCCACCCGTAGTCGCTCGGGAACTCGCCGCTGAGGTAGCTCGGGAGAGGTAGAGCACGCGTTCGGGGCCGTACCACGGGCTGTTGGAGGCGGCGGCCTTGGGCGCGGTCTTGCGCATGGTGATGCGGCTGCCGCCGAGGGCGTAGGAGGCTCCGGCGAGCTTGATCGCGGGGGAGGAGAGCGCCATGGTGGTGGCCGCCATTGCTGCCGGATGGAACAGAGCAAGCTGCTGATGTGCGGCTGCCGCTGCTACTGATGGGTGGCTGCGTGAGGAAGAGAGGAGGAAGGAAAGGAAGTTAAATACCAGGCCGCGCGCGCCAAAGGGAGGGAGGGGGCCACGTCCTTATCCTTGAAATCACGATCTGCGGCGCCCGATTGGCCTGCGGGTTTGAGTAGGGTGGATGGGGTGGCTGTTGTGGCGCGCTCGGGGCCGGACACCTGGACCTGAAACGGCCTTCTCTGCGGCTAGGACGATCGGCGCGCATGTGGCCGAGGAATGTCGTCGAGTTCCATTCATGTCTCCCTTCCCGCCAGGAAGAGCCACATCCAAAAGTAGAATCATTCTTTTTTTTTCCTGTAACATGCACCCTGGATTGTATAGTACTCCTACGTACTATACGGCTACTAGGAAACTTTACTGCTAGCTAGCTGCGGTGAGATTTTGGCATTACAACACCAAAACTCTTTTTTTCAAAAGAAAAAACACCACGGTAGTAAAACAGAGTTGAGGACACAGTGGCATATATGCTAGCTGAAACAAAGAGAGCGTATAGATACATCATGCATGATGTACTCCCTCCGATCCATATTACTTGTCGCTAGTTCAGTACAAAGTTAGTACAACTTTGTACTAAACCAGCGACAAGTAATAAGGATCGGAGGGAGTAGTATTCATTATTACCTCCGATCCATAATAACGGTCGCAATTTTGAACTAAACCCTAGTTTAGTTCAAAACTGCGACACTTATTTTGAATCGGAGGGAGTAGTAGATGGATGCTCTGCTGCATCATATACATTACAGCTGTACTAGCTAGCTAGGCGTCACATATACAAATATACAAATACAATACGGCTAAGGCAGGCTACTAATCAATTAGCTTTTGGGCTCGAGTTAGCGGCAGGCACAACACAGGGTCCTTCCAGACGCAGGTAGTCGTACATGACCCCCTGGAACGGGCTCTGGTTCCTGGGCTGCTTCAGATAGATGGTGTTCGTCCCCCGGACAAGCCAGGCGCCCCTCACGTCCACGCTGAAGAGAAAGTAGAGGCCACGGATCCCGTGCCTCGCGATCGCGTTGTCGCGCCCGATGAGCCCCGTGGTGAAGTGAGGCACAGCCCGTGCCTCATCGTTGAAACGGACCTGGAAATGCATGCAACAGGACGATGGTGATGATGATGATGATAAGAGAGGACTCAAGCCCAACCAACCACCATCAGCATCAGCAAAACGAAACGTTGGGGTTGGTTCTCAAGATTCAGAAACCTGCAGTTCAGCGTTGGCTGAAGACGCGAGCGCCACCCGGAACTTGTACGTGCTGTTGGGAGGGACGGCGTCAAGGCTGAACCTTATCTGCCATGTGGTGGGCTGGTACGTATCCCCATCGCTTCTTCTGCAGTTCAGTTCAGCTTAGTGCTATTGTTTTGTGCAAACAACACTTGGTTGAACAACACACACACACAGACAGACAGGCAGGCAGGCGTCACCTGGTAACTTGAGCGTAGAACCAGTCAGTGGCGTAGTTGCTTTCGCCGATGGTGTACACCAGATCACGGTCCGGATACAGCTCTGCGTACCTTTCCCAAAGCCCATACTGCCTGAACCTGTATGTAACACCCGGGACAACCGTGTGATTAGAAACAACTTGACGATTAACTGCTGGACGCAAAGGTTTCTTTCACCTGTCAGGATGGTTGATGAACAGTCTGTTGACATAGTTGGGGTTGGGGTCTGGAACGTAGAACTCGGCGGCAGACCTATCGGGTATTCCGATCTCCCACATGGTCGGGCCGTCTCTCGGTGGCTCGAACACGAGGTCACCCAGATAAATGTCGTCCCCTGAACACCATTGCTAACAATCTCTTGTCAGGACACCAATCGTTCAGGTTAGAGGCAGGCTGCAACTAGTACTAAGCCAGACTAACCTGAAGATATTGTTAGTGTGGCGTCGAATCTGTAGTCCCCGATGAAACCCGGAACCCACGCATATAGATTGTAGTTTCCAGTTACAATGTTCTTTATGTAGAAGCTACCATCTGCATCTGCTTGACACCAGAATTGGTATCCCTGTAACTCAGGGAAAAACTCCATTATCCACAATAATACTGACCATATAAGCATGTGGTAATGTTATACTAGCTTATAAGCATATGGTACGTACCTTGCACTCTCTTTGCCACGATCCAGCCTCTCCTGGTAATGCTAAGCCTATATAGGCTGATGCGGCATAAAGATCCTCATCCTCGATAATATACCTGATCATATATATGGTGAAGCAACCATTAGTAAGTAAGATATGCATATCTATGGTGCTTGAACTAGGTCTAGGGTAATTAAAAAGTAAAGTTACTGTGAAGTGTGAACCCTATCTGGTCGTGCATAACTGGGAGGTGCCACCATTATGTACTACCTGTCTCTTACAAGCAATCTACCAGAGATACAGCCTCTTTGCTCAGTCTTCTGGAAATCCTCTGAAAGTGCAAAATCATAGGGCCAGTTCTGTTTCTCCATCATCACCTGATCTTCCAAGATAAACATTAAAGATGACATCAAGTACCGACCGAGTTACTTATGTACTGTTCATAACAATATAAAGAATATAAGCCAGTCATTCTGCCATAATTGTTGTCATTTCATAAATTATACTCCCTCAGTTCCTAAATATATGTCTTTTTTAGAGATTTCAATATAGACTACATACGGATGTATATAGACGTGTTTTAGAGTGTAGATTCACTAATTTTGCTCCATATGCAGTCCATATTGGAATCTCTAAAAAGACTTATATTTAGGAACGGAGGGAGTACTATCTTATGAGTGCTCTTCTGTTGTGTGAAAATTGAATTGTACCCTAAAGTACTATTTATTTGCTGAACTATAATCACCTGAACTTTTGCATCCTCCCATAGTAGACTTGGGTCAGATCCATCCTGACTGGAGTTAAGGTACATGAACACCGGTCCATGAACCTTTTTCCAGTATTCTCCATTCGTGAACTTGGGCGAAAGGTCATCCCCAGCATAATGAGCACTAAGAAACATCTAGCACCAGATAAAAAGGCCTTTCAGAACTGGTTGCATATTAGTATCCATCTGAGCTCAATTCTAGCTTGTTAGATTCCAGATCATTATAATGACTTTTTTTATGAAGCAGCCACAACATGCTAATTATAAAGAAATAAAATAGTAAAGCAGAGTAAATATTTTCTGTCAAGGTCTGAACTTACTGCGAGCATAGTGGGCCCGACATGAGATGTCAAGTTCTGCTTCAGAGGTCCTCCGGTACGGAACTCGTCGCTGGGCGTGATTTGCCAGAAGCCAATAGGAGGATCAGATGACACCCATCCATGGACACTATTGCATCGGTCTTCACACGAGTATTGGTACTTGTCATCGACCTTGACAAACATATGAGTAATGTAGAGGTTATTCAGAATGAAGTCAAATATTTATCATGGATAATCTTATTGTGACTCTATTAGCTTACCTCCCCTCTGAGTTTAGGATTAATTGGGTCCACAAGGAGGACAGCCTCAGGGTACGCTAATTGCTGGCCGCGGGGAGGCAATCGGTCATCAGGCATCGGCATTATTCTCTGCCTGTTGTCAGCCATTGCCATGTAATGGAACCTGCATTCCACCAACACATAGTTTCAGTGGGAAGAAAAATAAATAAGTGAAGAGCAAAAATTCTAGGAGTATCTTAAAGTGGAGAACCAACTTGTCTTTTCTAAGCTTAAAGGCCACTCTGGTCTCCCCAATGCCAAAATCAGGCCACCCTTCCTTATGTTCATAGATTCCATAGGTGTAGAATCCCGAGGAGGCGCGAAGCACGATGAACCTGTACTTGTACATACAGAGATGCTTGCTCAGCTAAGCATGACTTTCCCCAGCTCCAAATTTATGCTTGTTCATCAGTCAGTCACCTCTTGTCGATGATGAGCGGAACAGCTTTCCCTTCGAGAGAAGGATCCCATGATCTGGTGAAGGAGACCTCAGCCTGGTTTTCATCATGATGTATGATGCGGAACTCTGTGCCTTTGATCCTGCATGCAAGCGTTCACTTTTAACCTCCTTTTCGAAAGAAAAAAAAAACAAGAGAAGAAAATAGAAAAAAAAGAGGGCAAATGAATGAAGTCGAGCTCCTCTTCTTACACATCAAATATTCCAGTTCGCTGTCCTGGTGGATTCCAAACAATGTCCCAGTACCTGACACAAGATGCATCGCTTAGCTCACCTCGCCTCGAAGATACAAGACAAATCGACAGATATAGCAGTACCACCACACCTATAAGCTGAAGCTCTAACTAAAATAATTGGTCATTCCTAGAGACTATGCATGCTGAGTAAGATTGGTACCCTCGGTTGTCTTCTTTGTTAAGAATCTCCATAAGATTGTCCACACCGTTGTAGCGCACGCCAGTTACAATACCGTCGGGGTTGGACAGCGTCAGCTCAAACATGTCGTTTTTAACTATAACCTGCACATATATATATATATATACAGTACACAGAAACACATGCATCCACATGCATGTTGCCAACCTCACACTCCAAATAAACAGCTTAAGCAGCAAAGCAAACGGCAGAAGATGAGCGCTTACGTATCTGCTGGTGACCTTGAGCTTAACACCGTCCATGGCTTCCCCTTCCCGTGGAGGGCCCAAACAACAGCCCACCAGGCTCCTGCAGCTGCTCCGGAGAGACGAGAAAGCAGCATTACGTTTATATAGAAACTGACTGAGTGGAGCGAAGATGAAGCACAGCAAGCAAAGATTAATGGCAGTGCACCCGTGGCCATGCATGCAGTGGAAGAAGCAGAAGTAGTACCTAAGTTTCGCCATGGGGTGAGAGGACGACGGATCCCCTCCACTGATCGATCCTTGTGCGTGCCTGGAGAATAATGTGGTGTGGTGTGTGGTGGCGATGTTTAGATGGATGGGCGGCCAATTATCCCTTGGTTTGGAAAGCAAGCATGCATGTGTGCGTGGAGTTGAAGCCAAGGAGGAGGTGCGGCAATGGCGTGGTCCGCCCTGCCTCTCTTCAACGGGTTGTTGGCCGGTAACAGTTGGCGGCTCTCTCAAGTGCGGCCGGCAGCCGAGGAGACGATGGAATATGTAGTACTACATGTCCACCAGCGGCCTGCAGCAACAGAGACACGTAAGTATGTCCTTGTCAAAAAGATGCCCGCTAATCGATCATCGCGCAGCTCCTTCAACTAATATAATTTTTCTTGCGAGACAACTCCTTGAATTATTGTATATTAGCATTTCAAAGCACGTAACGTGCCTAACCTAACCACAAGACATATCTCACACTATCACAGAAAATGAAGTCGTTACAGTGGCCGGACGGTGAAGCGCGTACTGATAGATGTGGACCGCCATGGCTGCCACGTCACGCTCAAAATGGAGATGGATCACGCACCGCCCAAGTCACAGCTAGCGGCCGTGAGAATAGTAGTAACAATGATTCAAGGAGGGTTTTTCTTTCCTGAAACAACAGGAAGAAGAAGGCCATGGACCGACGCATGCATACAGCGTTGACAAGTTGAGGATGGAGCACGGGCACTGCAAGCAGTAGCAGAGAAACAGTGATCATGTCATGTGATCCGATTCCAAGCCCATGCTACATACATAGACTTTCCTTGAGCTGCTCCCGCTCACGGTCACGGGGTGCAAAGAGACCGACCTGGGCGGCTGGGCTGGCCAATCCATGCCAAAAGCCTTGTGGCTTTGGAACTTGAGTAGGAACTAGTAGTAGATACAAGAGGCAGGGACAAGGAGGAGCAAGAATCTCCCAGGAAGCTACAAGCGTCCTGCATGGATAGATAGATCACAGGAGAATAGTGTAGTGCTACCTTGGACATGGAGATTGTTGTAGAGGACTTGCTTTGTTTTTTGTTCAACACTTCAACCTCGAAGAGAACGCAATCCAGGCTGCTCTAAAGATTGAAGGACAAAATACTCGTCGGAGCTGAAATGTTTCAGGGCTTGAGCGAGAGAGTAGCTCGGTTTCTATTGTAACGATCTTATATTGTGGAACGAAAGGAGTGCCATATTAAGGTCGGGGGAGTAGCATCTTGCTGTTGGCTGGAGCAGAGCGAGGACGGACGCCATTTGGCACGTGATTGGGATATCAAAAGAACCCACCATATTTCATCGGCTGCAATCATCCCTTTTTTAAGGACTCATTCATAAACAAGTTGAACGGACAGAAGGTATCTTGGCCTGGCTGATTTGCTGAAATGCAGACTCCGCGCGTGTGCTGCTCAAATGCCCATGCTGCAAAAATAAGCCAGAGATGTGCATCTTAGACACCACCAGAGAGAGTTTCAGAAAAGTGAATAAAACACAAACAAGCGCATGCTACAGCATACCACACACATTACAAACTCAACGAGATCAGCGCACAGCCGCTATGATACCGGACTAACGAAAGCCGAGGCTACACTTCAAGCTAACTAGAGTAGAAAGGGGGGTGGGTTATTTTACACAGCACACAAAATATGTACATTTAAAGGGGCAAAAAACCATCAGCTGCTCACCAAAACTCTGACGGCTGGTTAACATCTACCTATGGCCTGGGTAACTCATCTCTAATCTGAAAGAACCTCCTCCAGCTCAGGATCATCTGGTCTCACCAACGCATCATCCTCCACTTCCGGGTCAACTATCTCCTCTTTCTCTTCACTAGCGCCATCTTCTTTCTCCGCACTAGTGTCGTCTTCTTTCTCCTCACTAGTGTCATCTTCTTCCGCACTGGATCCTCCCAACTCCTCGTTGGTATGATTAGCAACTGTGGGCTCTGTAATGGCTTTCCTACCCTCGGTGCCATTACTCAATCCTTGCTCACTTCGAGGGTTAGGTTTGGTCGGTGTCTTGGGATCGGTGTTTTCACATATACATGTCGAGGGGTTCTCGTGGAACTCCCCCCTTCCTGGCCTCAGCTCTTTGGGCTCCCCCATAAATCCTTTCTGGGCCATGTGCACTTTGGAGGAGAATGCATCCCAGGACATGTTTCCTCTGCTCAAGAATAAGGAGTAGAGCCTTCTCGCATTTGGTCGGATCGTTCTCTTATGCCCAAGATATCTCCTGCCATGGCCACCAATACATGCTCAGAATTAACAATAGATCCCTATAGAAGGAAAACCATGATGACAACCGAGGGATATCAGCAGAATAAGGTTATACCTTCGCCCAGCCAAAATTTTGGCCATATTACCATTGTTGTTAGTAACAAAAGCATCACTTCCATCACAGACAATGAAATCAAGTGCGGCCATGCGAGATGAGTACTTTGAGAACGGAGCCAGCTCGTCTTTGCTTGTTACTGTTTCTTTGGTATGAAGATTGGGGAAGAGCGCTTTCAGGGGTGCTAATGTCTTTGCCCCACCATATATATCTCCAGAGGCAACATAAATATGAACATTCTTTCTGTAGCCCAGTGCCCTCAACATCAACCCCACCTCTTCAGGAGTTAGTGGGCATCTACCGTGCCTTCTTTCTTTCTCTGGATTGCTAGCCTGAAATGTAAAATAGCAAAAGTTACACTCATAATATTTATATGTGACTTCATGACTAAGAACCTAACAATACAATATGATATCATACACACATGCAAGGTTTTCCATCTCTTCCGTATCACACCAAGTTCTCTCCTCTCCTTTTCTCCACCACCGTAGTAGCACCCAGAAAAGGCAAGCATATCTGGTTCAAATCTGGCATCACAAAACATTAACAACATTAAAACTAAATATCCCCACAAAAAAAGGAGTGCACAGCAATTGGGGTAAACATTTTTGTAGCTTTGATAGTGCATTTTTGTTTTGAGAAGTAGGGCCAAAAATCACAATTGCTGATGGAGAAAATAGACGGTTTACTTCACCAGCCAAGCGTGCAATTAATACTACGAATCTAGCAGCCAAATATACAGAGGACCATACTTAATTGTTTTTTCATAATGATTTTAGTCGTCAGAAAACCAGGCGGACGATTTTTCCTGAAGTGAGGAGCAGCTGGGGTTTTTTATGGGAGCAGCAGCCGGTTCGTGCTCAATTTATTTTTCTCCTTCGAGCAAACAGCAGAGAGGAAGAGCGCACAAAGAGAAGTGTGCGAGCACTGACAGGCTGGCCCACCAAGCGTTTTAGCAACTACTGACCTGGGGTAGATTCTCACCTGAACGGGCTTGCATCTCCACTAAATGGGCTGTCAGCCCAACCTAACGATCAGAGCCAGAGGTGTTTGGCTCTAGAACGCTTTCTAGCGATCAAAACACATCCGGAACGGGCCTGAGGACGTTGAACCGTTTTCCCATCACTTATAGGTGGCATGATGGGTAATTTTTATTAATTTCGAGGGTAGTTCTGATGACGGACCAACAATCAAGAAAGCCTCCTCCCTATAATATTATTATTAGGTAGAGAGTGTTGACCAGCAACTTATAGACATTTCCCTTGCTCCTTTGTACATCCCCCCTAGACTATGCTCAATTAGGATGTTCCTGGTAAACAAAGCATCATGCTCATAAATATCAATAACATACTTGCTAAGAAGCTGGCATTATGCTCATCCCCAGCCCGGTGGACCGATCCTTGTGCTCTAAACTGTTTTGACTCATATCAAACTATGCTCTTCACAGCACAGAATGAGATAACCTAATACTCCCTCCTTTCCAAAAGTATAGTGTATAATTTTTTTGAAAAATCAAACTTCTCTATGTTTGACCAACTTTATAGAACAAAATTTGAAAATCTACAATACCAAATCAGTAGGTCGTATATCAGTAAGCTTTCTCTCACTTGGCATCAAAGAAAAATGTGAGCTGAATCATGAGAATTTGAAGTGTGAGCACCTTAAATGAAGAGCAATAAAATATGTGCTCCTCTCCCGCATTCTCTGTACTATCTTTTCACCCATTTCTTGTATTGGGTCAGTAAATCTCAATGCATGGTAGTTAACTCTGCATCTCAGCTTTTGCAGATCAGAATCCAACCTGTTTGCTAGCCTATAATCAAATTTTGTTAGTCGAACAACCTGCATCAGGTGAAAGAAGAGATATAAGCTACCCTAGTAATTTAACCACAGAAGTCAAGTCTCTTACATTTTCACAAAAACAACTTCTAATAGGGGGCTACAGCTTCGGAAAATGCTAACAAAATGAAGTAGTAACATTTTCTTCACCAAAAAGAGTTCTTAACAGTTTCCCAGCAGAAGAAGTCATTTTGAAAAACAATATGATCATGCAGGTTGTTGTCTAAATTCAGGTTTAAGTATAGCTCCATAACCTATTGTCCTAGTGCTCCACAGCATAGAGTCTACAAATGCCTTGTACATACTCCTCTTTTATGTACATACTCTTTTAATATAAACATGCATATGTACTATTGGGGCCTTTCGTATACTTGCATACGAAATGCCTCTGTTTCACAGTTCATACCATCCAAATGAGGATGCATAGTAGGCTAATGCAAGTGATAACAACACATCAAATAACTTATGTCAGTAACAAACATTGCTATCTACAATACTTACATGTTTCTTAATAAGTGCAGGCAACACACGGTTCAAGTAACATCGCTGAGTGCATTTGCGGGGCACACGCATTCTATGAGGAGCCCACAGTTTACCTCCTATCTTTGGAAGCTCTTTCACAATCCTTACATCCTTTGATAGAAATGAGATGAACCAGTCGGCGTTAAAAATTTCAGCAAAGTCACTGCAGAGTGCAGAGAAATGGTATAAACACAAACAACACATTTCAGTCTTCTTAAAAACATGAGCAGACCTAGAAGGCTAGGATGAGAAATTGTTGGTGCTCGAAAAAACCTTGCATCTTTCCAGAAGGAGGTTTGGTCCAATTTGGGAACAACGAGTGTTGCATTTAAAATACGTGCAGCAACAACAGCATCAATTATCTGAGAAGAAGCACACATTAATCAGGATAATGGGCATAGTTATGAACATCATAATATGTAATCAGAAAACACACATAGCTACTATAGAGTTAGCTGTGAAACATGAAGAGACACTCCTAAGCTTACTCACTTTCAAAATAAAATTGCAGAGACCTCAGACTTCAAGCTTTGCCACATCCTTACACACTACTATACTCAGGAGGTGCCTAACTGTTCACAGAATTAGCCTATACTGTTCAAAGTCTGACTTAAGATTACTAATGGTTTTAAATATTGCAAGAGAATACAAGCTCTAACTTGTGTTTTATATGAAGTACTACTTACAATACTCATGAGAAGATATGATCCATATTTGCACGCTTAATTCTGGATATGTGGGCAATAGGCTACCTGCTTCTTCAGGTGATATTGCCTAGAAACCACATCTTTTCAAATTTCAAAAACGCAAGCAACTTGGCATATGTGTATCAATAAGTTAGCTTGGTTATGCATTTGCAGCTCAGTTCTAATACTGAATCCAGTATTAGTTTAGCCACTTGAAAATATACTTCCTAATGATTATTTCATTTATAATCGGGATATCTAAAACATAGTAAACCTGGAGAAGAACCCTTGGTATTTTGGAGCAGATAGAGTAAATGAAATAATAATATTGCAAAAACAAACTCAAGCTCTAGCACTAAGAGAATGAGAGCGTATTAAGACAGTAGGCTTTCTTCATATACATATTTAAACTGGTTGTTTACATGTTTTGCCATACACATCTACATGCATTATAACATTCGAGCTGGAAGATGTGGCAGTTGCACATGTCTTACCCCTGTTCTCTGTTGATTGAGGCCTCCACTTGTAACAATCATCAAATATCGGTCTGGATGTGTCATAACACCTGAATCTGCACAATTTGAAACACTTCAGGCGGTGGCGATGGGGGGGCTAGCCCAGCACAGCAAAGAAAAGGCACCGCTACCACCAACACCATTTCCAGGATATGCATTATAAGATTGTAGAACAAATGTAATATCTGAAATGGCCTATGTGGGTACCGCAAATTCTAATCAACCATCTATGGCAAAAAATATTGCGCACCAAGAAACTTGCTGCTTGAGTTGCTGCACCCATAGAATTTGCTAGCGAGCTTCGAACCCCAGAGGCCATCTGTCGCAATCCAACCACCTTTCTGCAGTTTGAGAAATTGAAACTAACTAAGCAATCCTGAAAACAAAGTTCTATTTTAACATACTTTAGCCAGAAAAAAAGGTTTACCAAAAGGGGAAATGGTCTAGACTGAAAATAATCTGCAGCGGCACAGAATAACAAAAATCCATTTTAACTCACACCTCTACAAACCCATGGAAACAAGTTCAGAAATACCCTGGAGCATGCAAATATAGGTCCTTCTGAAATAAGATAGAAAGGGAGCTCAGCCAAATAGCTTGCTACCAACTAATTTACTTGCAATGGCACACGAAATTAAACCTAGTTCACTTATATCTCCCAATTAAAGCAATAACCATATAGACTGATCGATTGGCTACAAAGACAGGAGCAATGCAGCGTACTCAAGTCAGTAAGTCAATACTCCACCAAACAGAACACAACAATCACGTGCAATTGATTTGGTTCCCTCAAAGCTACAATCGATTGGGTGAATACTGAACACAATAAGGAACTACTAGCTCGCTTAACCTAAGCGGGGAAGCACATGCTTACTGGAACCCGGGAAATCTCGCGGCGCCCGGGCTCCACTAGGCTGCTGCCACCAGAGCTGTTCAGCTGCGAAAGCACACGCGTGGAACTCCACGAGTTAGATCGAGAGATGTAAAGGAAAAGGTAGAAGCAAGTAGGGGTAGCAGTGGAGTACCAGAGCATGCGGGGAGCGGCGGCGGGAGTAGGCGAGGGCCGGGTGGTCGGACAGAGGCGGCGGAGAGACGTAGAGCAGCGTGACGGCGGCGAGGAGGAAGAGCAGCAGTAGCGCCGCTGCCGGCAGAACGGCGCGGCGCGGGCACGGGCACGGGCACGGGTGGTGGTTGTGGCCGCCGCGCCGGCGCGGCAGGACCATCCCGGGTCCGGCGAACGGAGATCTCAGGGCAGGGAGAGAGCGCCGCGGCGACGGCGGCGGAGAAGTAGTCTCGGCGACATGGGAGCCCTACGGATCAGTAGCGTGCTTGAACTTTCGAGATGGAGTAGTATACAAGCGTACGGCGAGTGTACTAATTAAGCTGCATCGCGGTTTTGATCTTCTTTTCTGCCACTCGTGTCGTGTCCGTAGGCCGCATTCGACGGTACAAGATGCAAAATCTTCGACCAACGGTGTCCCTAGTTTATTCAGAAATTAGACTCGCTACATAATTTCAATGAGTTTGTATCCAATCATTGTGCTTTATCTGCATTTTATTGTTTTTATAACTACGCCGCGCGGCGTTGTTGCGCGCGTTTTTACTTTCCATGAAGATAAATGTGTATCGTCAAATGAATAAAAAATAAATGTGGCATGAAATGTCGAATGAATGCATTTACATTTGAGACCTCCATCCAATAGAATATTGATATTCACATTGAAATGTTGAACAAATATATTTTTCACAAATGTAAAGAGATTTATCACTAATGTGCATGGATTCATTTCCTTAGTATTTAGGTTTTGGTTGGCTTGTGAGAGCATTGACATAATTCTAGTACACTTGGTTGGCCCATTGTGACTTTAAAGTGAGGTATTTGTTCACCTCTGCACAAATGTTCAAATTTGTGTACTATGGGCAAATGTTCTTAACAACTAGGGAAATATGGATATAAGAATTAACTATGACCATCTAACAATATAGGTAAAGCGCATCTCGAACCTTGTCATCTTGTCATCAATCGAGACTTCATCAGCCATCTGATATATCGTTATTCATGAGCGCTCAATGTACTATGACCATCATAACTATATATACTTGGTTGTTCTTATATACGATATGGTGTAGCACAATTTAACAACAATCCAGAACAATCAATAAACATATATGGCTGGGATGGGAAATAATACAAATATTCATTTATCTAAGAACTTAATTATAAAGGGATGCGCAAAACATATCAATAACTCTTCCTCCGTCCGAAATTACTTGTCTTGGGAATGGATATATCTACATATTTTTAATTCTAGATACATCCATTTTTATCCATATATGCGACAAGTAATTTGAGACGAGGGGAGTATATGATAACCTTATGGTAAACCGATGGATCGGTTCGCTTGGAGCTATTACCACTGCACAACAAACCCATGAGTATATCACTCCTTGGTCCTTGCTGTGGGACTTCCACCTTGATCCTGCCATTGATGGCACCATTGTGTGGATTGCTTCCCTCTCAGGCGAGTACTCGGCCTCGTCCACATACCATCATAGTTTGTGGTTGCCACATCACCTTTCTTGGCTAAGAAAGTTTGGCATGCCAAGGATGAGCCGAAAATGTAAGTTGTTCGTGTGTGGCTTCTTCCGCACATGAAGGCCCTCACGGCGGACTGATTGGCCATCCAGGGTTGGCCTCATGAAGAGGTTTGTGCGCTTTGCCTCACCTGGTACGAAACAAACGAGCACCTTTTCTGCACAAGAAAAACATCATGGCAATTCTGCTGAAAACAACGCCAATCCGGATTAGTTTCATTGAAATCATGAAAATTAGAGGGCAAAACAATGGCAAAAGAGTTTGGAAAAGTAGATACATTTGAGACGTATCACAGGACAAAGCACGACAGAAGGCCCGAATGCTTGAAGTCTACACCGGTCACTCCAAATTTATGAAGAGGTCTCCTAGGAAGCCACACGATGAGCAGGCCCAAAGACCTTCCCAGAGCCGGACTCGTGAAATGCAGGCCACAGAGATATAGAGAGCCCGCCTGGACTCTCAGCCTCAGACATTCTAACTCTAAACACGCCTGAGTGCTATTGACGGTGTAATGCACCGGGGGTGGCCTCTCGGTGGGGAGCCCGACAACAGGCATATCTCAGGGCCCATGAAGCTTGGTGAAGGTCCAACCACGGGAGGAAGGCCCGAAGCCCGGGTAGGCATAAAAGGATCACCTTGATGCACAAGCCAAGATAGCAGCGGCCATATTGGATATATCATGTGTAAAACCCTAGCCCTCATCACCTATATAAGATGGGGCTACGGCTAGCCATTCCCACCTACTCTTGTAGAAACGTACTCTCGGTAGCCATATATCGTCCCCTCATTGTAATCCTCGCACGAGGTACTCCACCATGAATACAAAAACAGAAGCGGGACGTAGGTTATTACTCCAGCCTAAACCTGGCTAACTTCCTTGTGTGACCTACGATTTGGTACTTACGGCCATGCTCGCCACCCAACCGAGGGTACTGGTGGTTTTATGTATCGTCATACGTGATATGGGTTTTGAAGAGCATTATGAGGGGTCAAAGGCTCCACCTGCAGATATGAAGATGCGATGCACTGCATCAAGAATTTCTTCAGAGTGCACTTATTCATCTCCGACTGTACAAGTGGATATTGAAGATGATGTGACTTCCCCTCCTGCACCACCTCGTCGCCAAGATTCGTCACTCGAGCCTGCTACTCCACCGCTCGTCTTCAACACTGTCGTCACCCCGTCGGATCAACCATCTTCATCAACTCTTCGGGGCGTCGGATCAATCATCTTCATCAAGTCTTCGGGGCATGCATTGCTCTATTTCTTTGTCCTTTTGGTCCTTCGATGACAAAGGAGGAGAAATATGAGTTATAGTCTTCAAGAAGGCTATATGGACAGGCCTCTATTTTTTTAAGTTGCAACTCTCGTTCGTCTTCCATCTTAATATAAGGAGTTCTAAACTTAAGTCCGGTGGCCATCTGATATTTTTGAAACTATTATTTCTTCATGGTTATCCACAAGTTAATCATATATGTATGAAGACATTCGTCAGATGACACTTCCCATTGTGCATTCCTAATTCTTCATATTATATTTTCAATGCATTATGATTGCACTACTGCAGGATGCTGCTATCGTGACACTACGATCAGAGACCCTTTGGCGAACTATGTGCGATGCATTAATTGCAAACGGTGATGTAAAAAACCATAAAAAAGATGCAAAACGTATGCGATGGTGGAGACATCAAACACGGTTCAGATTATAGTTGCGTGTGCGACAAGGGGCATACGATTGATCCATGCGAATTGTTTGCAATGAGACAGAACAACAGAAGCGGACAACCATATCAAGGTGTGTGCGATATACGACATACAGTTCACTCGGATTAACCATTTGTGATTAGGCAACACAACAGAAACGGGCAACTAGATCAAGGTGTGTGTCATATACGGCATATGGTTCACTCGGACGAACTGTTTTCGATTAGGGAACAAAACAGAAATGGTTCAACTTAAAAAGATGTGTGTGATATGCGGCATACAATTCACATAGATGAACTGTTTGCGATGAGACAAAAGAACACAAATGATTCGTGTAAACAAGATGCATGTGATACATGGCAAACAACCCACTCGGATGAACTTTTTGCGATGAGAAATTATAACACATACGATTACTACAATTAATTCGTGTGCGATTCTGTGTGTACAAAAAACTCAAAAAATGCAAACTAGTTGCTTGCGGTGGCTAGGAGTATCGCACACGATGCGTCTGCGAGTACTCGTGTGTGATGATTAGTAAGTTACACATATGTTTCCTTAAGTTAACACGTGTGTGATAGATAACACGTGGCACCACATACGATATTCGGGTTGTGTGCTCCACTTAGTCTTCCCACGCTCCACATGGGTGAATTGTAAAATCCCCGCCTCTTCCCTCATCGGTTTTCTGCCACCAGCTAATGGCTTGCTACATATAACCCAGGCGGCAATGCACCGTGGCGACACTATGCGTAGATCTAGTCCTCACCCATCTACTATTAGTTATTCCAAGCATGCCAGACAACGACCAAGGCTTAGACATCGACCCCTACTTGTGTTACATCTTCTGCAAGAAGAACAAGCCGAAGTAGGTCGGGGAGCAAGAGCTTCATCGGCCGGTGCAGGCACCATGGCCCATCGATAGTGATATCAGCGTGACAGTCCTTGGGCGCACAATCGACATATTGCAGAGGAAGTGTGATGAGCAGTTTGCTGTCCACCATGCAAAAGATCCAGAGCTGATCGGCGGCATGATCGACGACCCACCCAAAGAGCCGCCATAACCAGTGCTCATCGAGAGCCTGATGCCCCGCAAGGAATGGGCAGAGTGAAGGAAATATGCCCTAGAAGCAATAATAAAGTTATTATTTATTTCCTTATATCATGATAAATGTTTATTATTCATGCTAGAATTGTATTAACCGGAAACATAATACATGTGTGAATACATAGACAAACAGAGTGTCACTAGTATGCCTCTACTTGACTAGCTCATTAATCAAAGATGGTTATGTTTCCTAGCCATGGACAAAGAGTTGTCATTTGATTAACGGGATCACATCATTAGGAGAATGATGTGATTGACTTGACCCATTCCGTTAGCTTAGCACTTGATCGTTTAGTATATTGCTATTGCTTTCTTCATGACTTATACATGTTCCTTTAACTATGAGATTATGCAACTCCCGTTTACCGGAGGAACACTTTGGGTGCTACTAAACGTCACAACATAACTGGGTGATTATAAAGGAGTACTACAGGTGTCTCCAAAGGTACATGTTGGGTTGGCGTATTTCGAGATTAGGTTTTGTCACTTCGATTGTCGGAGAGGTATCTCTGGGCCCTCTCGGTAATGCACATCACTATAAGCCTTGCAAGCAATGTAGCTAATGAGTTAGTTGCGGAATGATGCATTATGTAACGAGTAAAGAGACTTGCCAGTAACGAGATTGAACTAGGTATTGAGATACCGATGATCGAATCTCGGGCAAGTAACATACCGATGACAAAGGGAACAACGTATGTTGTTATGCGGTTTGACTGATAAAGATCTTCATAGAATATGTGGGAGCCATTATGAGCATCCAGGTTCCGCTATTGGTTATTGATCGGAAACATGTTTCGGTCATGTCTACATTG